ACGGAGGCTAGTAGACGGAAACACTAATTTATCCGTTTGCGTAACTTCTTTTTCTGGTTGTAGGGTATCCCCAGTCACAGTTAAGCATATGATAGACCCACTCTATCAACCACTACTCGATAAGTACCTTGGGATACAACAAACTCAACCGAAACTACCGTGTGTAACCGGCAGTGTTACACATCACATCACGACTACAGGACCACCTGTATTCTCTAAAGCACGACGACTAGCTCCTGAAAAGCTAAGGTCAGCGAAAAACGAATTCGATCACATGATCGACTTAGGAATCATACGACCGTCAAACAGCCTTTATTCATCTCCGTTGCACATGGTCCCTAAAAAGGACAGCAACGATTGGCGTCCGACTGGTGATTATCGTCGATTGAATGTAAAAACCATTACCGATCGTTACCCGTCGCCTCACATTCACGATTTGACAGCTACCTTGAAAGGTACAACTGTCTTTTCGAAAATCGACTTGGTTAAAGCGTATAACCAAATTCCCATGGCCACTGACGACATACCGAAAACAGCTATCATAACTCCCTTCGGGCTCTATGAACTTTTGCGAATGCTTTTCGGTCTAAGAAATGTTGCGCAAACTTTCCAAAGATTCATAGACGACGTCTTTCGAGGTCTCAACTTCCTACATGCGTATGTTGATGACTGCCTTATCGCAAGTCCGGACAGAGAATCACATCTCAAGCATCTGGATCTTGTTTTCGAACGATTACAAAAACATGGCATTACTGTAAACGTTCAGAAATGCCAATTCGGAACCGACTCGTTAGACTTTCTAGGAAACAATATAGATGCTCAAGGCATTCGACCTCTTAGGACCAAAGTGGCGGCCATTCTGGATTACCCAGAACCGACCAACGTTTAACGGCCTGGTAAATTTCTATAGACGCTTCTTACCGAAATGCGCATTACTTATGAAACCTCTTACCGACCAACTTCGTGGAAATGCGAAATCCATTAATTTGGACGACACCGCACGAAAAGCATTCTCCACAGTTAAGGAACTGATCGCTAAAACAACAATGCTCGCACATCAGGACACCGAAGCACCCATCAGTATCGCAGTAGACGCATCCGACTCGGCAATCGGAGGAGTCTTACAACAATGGGTTAACAACTCCTGGCAACCATTGGCATTTTTCTCTAGGCGGTTGCTAGACACCGAATCGAGGTACAGCACATTCGGTAGGGAACTCCTAGCTATGTATTGTGCTGTACGGCATTTCCTACACTATATCGAAGGCCGTGAATTCACTCTTTTCACGGACCATAAACCGCTCACTTTCTCGTTAAGCTCCTCTTCAGACAAGTACTCTCCCCGTGAGTCTCGACAACTGGACTACATTTCGCAGTTTACTTCAGATATTCAACATATTTCTGGAGCAAACAACGTAGTTGCAGACGCCTTGTCTCGAATAACTTCCTTGAACAGTTCCCAAGGAATTGACCTTCTTAAACTCGACCAGCTTCAAAAAGAAGACACTAATCTTCAGCACGAGTTATCGTCCACAACCCTTAAACTACGCATCAAACAGATGGGAACAGGTAAGGAAACCTTACTTTGTGACACATCTACAGGTAGGGATCGCCCAATCGTGCCGAAACATTGTTAACGCAATGTCTTCAATACATTGCACAAAATTTCTCATCCAGGTGTTCGTGCAACCATCAAGCTTATATCAGAACGGTTATGCTGGCCTGGCGTGGATAAAGACGTGAGGGAGTGGGCACGCTCTCGTGTGAGCTGCCAGAAATCTAAGGTTATCAGACACAATGTCTCTTAGGCTCATTTAAAAATCCCGATGCTCGTTTCGACCATGTTCATCTGGATTTGGTAGGACCTTTACCAGATTCAAATGGATACTCCTACCTCTTAACGTGTGTAGATCGTTTCACTCGATGGCTAGAAGCAGTACCTAACAAGAACATCACTGCTGAAACAGTGGCCCGCACCTTCGTCTAACGATGGGTAGCAAACTTCGGTTGCCCTTCAACCATCACTACAGACCGCGGACGTCAGTTTGAATCTAAACTTTTCCGTCGTCTGAACACACTATTAGGAAGCACTCGCTTCCGAACGACCGCTTACCACCCACAAGCAAACGGGTTGGTAGAACGTTTTCACCGACAACTAAAAGCTTCACTATCAGCTGCAAACGTTTCACAGTGGACCGACGCTCTTCCACTCGTCTTAATAGGTATCCGCAATGCAGTGAAAGCTGACATTGGATACACTGCGACTCAACTCGTTTATGGAACGACACTCCGACTTCCAGGAGAATTCGTGGATCCTTCATCCTCTTCAATGAGCATGGATCTAACCTCCTACACGAACAGGCTTACAAACGCAATGTGTTCAGTAAAACCTGCTTCCACTCGACCTCAATCAACTGATGTTTTCGTTCGTCGAAACTCGCATCGACGACCTTTCGAATCAGCATACGAAGGACCTTTCAAAGTTCTTCAACGCGAACCGAAGTACTATATAATCGATAAGAACGGAATCAACGATAGCATCAGCATCGATCGCCTCAAAGCAGCGTATTTAGAAGGAAATCCTATCTACGTGGATTTTCCTTCGGTATGACACGACTCCGACACTTATAATACCTCATCCGACAACCAACACACACGATGATATTTCGACAGTATCCGAAGATAAACATAAAACGATGCGTTATGGAAGAAGAGTGAGATTTCCAGAACATTTAAACGACTATTGCACGTAAGGCACTTCTCGACATTTTCTATCTTATTAAAAAAATTTTTTTAATAGGCTCATATATTTTCATTTCTATTTCAAAAAAAAACAAAAAAAACGATTTTTTTAACGCTGTTACGTGTTCATGAGTTTATTCTCCCTTTTTTACGCACATACGAGTGTATTTTCGGCATGCACTTACATTTTCTTTTCCAGGACGGCTGGAAAAGAACGATGACGTTTATGAGGATCCGAAATTTTCATTGTACATTTCTTTTTTTACTATGTTGTACCCCGGTCCCATATAGTAAGGAAAGACGACCAGACGCTGCTAAATTTAGTAAGCTATCAGAAGAGTGTTTACCAACGACAAACTCGTTGGGTTTAAACTTCTGGCTGGCCACGTCTTAGGGTCATCACTGCCCCACTAGGGGAGTGATCTGTAGCGGTAAATAAATCCCCAAACTAAGTAGCTCTGTAGGTTTTCGACATTGGATGCTGACCATGAGTTTTAGTGGACTCATCTAGCTGAAGGCGCTCGGTCATGCATCCGCACCAGATCACGTGTGGTAACGCTGTGCTCAACATCAACCGCAATCACTAGCCAGATTATATCAGAGATTCCCGATATATTGGTTATCGCCAAATACACTCTTCCGATCTCCTCGACTCTGTCTTTTGATTTCTCTCGGTGCGAACAAAGTATATTAGAAGGTGTTACTGGTAGAAGCGTTGTCAAACACTGAATACCTGTATCATCCTCAACACTATCAAATTCAATCCACCTTCCGTAACGCCTGTTCACTAATATACATTGAAATGTCTCACTTAATGTGACTGAAATGTCTCTTGAATATGAAGCACTGCAAGCAGCACGTATTAATTATTAAAAATAGTTATTCCTTGCAATAATACTTTAATATAACTGAAGAAAGTACTACAAACATTGAAGACGTACAGGTCACTTGACATTTCATCTTAAACCTTGCGTAAAATACCGATTCACACAAACTTCGTGTATGTATAACTTTTGAGTTATTCTCAGTACGCTGCTCTATGGACCCCACCAAATTTTAGACAAGGATAGTGAGAGTCAGTGGAGAAATTGCTATCCCAGGTAAAGATACGAGAGAGAAGACTGCTGAAAATAAATCAATCTTTGACTAGTTCAAAGTTGAAAAGGCGGCTCGAATATAGTTGGAGATTCGTAAAAACAGAGTTATATGTTTAATATAGTTGTGAATTCTAGTAGAAGCAAATAGAATTCATTGATATGAGACTTTTGTATGAAATGTTTCCGAGCCTTGGTAACATCAAATGAGACAACTTTGGTTACTTAAGAGCAATATTTCTAGTGACCGGTACGTTTTTGAAGTGTGCTGTTTTCAGCTCAACGGAGTTTGCCTCAATAAATTGGAGCCGAAGAACTCTATGAGGTTAATCTTCAGGGTGGTCGCATCGGACGATTTACAGCAATTAAAACTAAAGAAATTGGAACTAGACAATCAAAGAAATTTCATGTTTCATTCAATTAATGAAAATGAAAGTAAGATATTTGACACATACAATAAGTGAATAAAATACTCACTACGACATATCTTGATGTCGTAGAAAATAGTAATTCCAAGTAAACAAGTTAGAATAGGTTTACTGTCCACCAATAGTGACCATCATCTTCAAAAAGTAATGAGTACGAATTTAGATACTTCATATTACGCATTTAGATTTTACTCCAAAGATTAGAAAAACTTAATTTAAGATTTTGCATATCACTTAAATAATGCAAACTGATTTCTCAAAGTCAAAGCGAATTGGATGCCCATACTAACATGTATTTTGTTAATGACAGATTCTTAGAATAAACTTGTATTTCCAATAATCAGTCAGCATGTTTAACATTTGTACATTGAAATTTATCACAATAAATCTAGACCCATGTGATAAGTATTCATGATGCTCACTGAGTAAAGCAGTGCCTGTTCAATAAAATGTTATGCTGCGGTTCAATAGGGTTTTTCAGTATTGAAGATCATGTTCTTCATATCATCACATATACTTTTAATACACCAAATATATTTCCTCGGCAGCAAAGTAAAAATTCGAATTTCGTCGTATTTGGTCGGCCATTTTTGTTTTTTCAGTCTTATGGTGAGTTGGTGTTGCATAAGTGTCTCTTACAGACGTGTTTCCTTTATTTATAACGTATTTTTATCGGTTTTTCGCCGCACTTACTGCTTATATCCTTGAAGGCTATGCCCTTCAGAAGACCTTCGAAGGTCATTTTGGAAGGTCGCCTGGGTTGACGTCCTTGCGGCTGATAGCTATGTCAAAATTCCTGTTTTTACGATTGTATATGTCAACTTAAAAGCATCAACTTATTCTCTACTATTCAATGAAGGGTCTTACGTACCTTTTTGTTCCTAGTTAAATGAAGGAATGGCAGCGTCTGAAGTCACGAGTCCAACAGACATCCAAGATGATTTAAAGAATGAAAGTTTGGAGGCTACTGTATCTCTGGATAAACTCATAATGGGAGGTGCACCAAAGTCATCGGGATCAGTGTCTACTAGTGATGATCATGTGCCTGCCACAACTTACGTTACAATCCATCTCCCTGATGGAACCCAAGGATCAACTCTGAGTCAACAAAAATTGCAGGAACTTATCATGCACTTATCCCAGTCTGGTCAGATTCAACTACGAGAAGATAGCAAGATTGTGATAGATGTAAGTCAGGTCATCATGATGAGCTATTACTGCTAATTACTGCCGTAATTTCTGTATATCTCTTCGGTCATTCACTTAAACTTGTAGTGGCTTCATAATAACACTATTATCTGTAATTATGCGTAATCATTATGCATCTGAATATAACTGCCAGTCTTATTTGCGTAGTCTTCCTACATGTCTGTGATCATTTTTGGTATAATTTAAAATTCTAGAGCCATAGCCTGCTATGTTATTTTTCTTCATGAACTCTAGTCGTATTATTCGCTGACATTCTTGTCTCCCGTAAGCTAGTAAGTTATGCTAGGCCTGACAAAACCTTAAGTCCAACGTTTTTCAGAGTTTTCCCATATAGATTATGACGATTTGTAATTGAAACAGATACTATTGTTAGATACGAGAACAGACTTAGATCTACACCAAACGGCTAGGTCATTCATGGTTTTACTCAAGCTACTTTCTCCAGTACTTCATTGTCTTTGGCTTGGAGCAGTAAAGTATTGTTAAGACGAGCTATCAAGTGACGGTAGGTCACCATGAAGACATCTTACTTATTTGACTAACTGACCACGAAATGTGGTTCAATCAGACTGAAACGAATGAATCATTACGCGGTTTTTAATATAATGATGATATTTAGAGCACCTCAGTAACTGAACTAGCAATATTTGGTGTACTTTGTAACAGTAGGTGAGGTAAAATGGACGTCTGTCTACTGACCCCAAATCTCACGATCAAAACATAATTTAGATATCAGAATTTCAGAAATGATCAAATTTCCTTCGTATTAAGTATCGCTCAATTTAAGTTGGAAGTCATTTATTGGTAACGTTGACAGCTCCTGTGATGCATGTTAAGGCATGATATCTTGTAATGCATCCTGAAATTAAGTTACTGAGTTGTGTTTATAAAATAGTTGGAGCAATGAATATGTGAGGATCTGTACTGAATAATGAAAATTGACTATTCGATGAATGACTGTAGAGTGTTGATCTTACTGTTTAATTTTTTCTACTTGGTCTTATCGTAATTAACTTAATGATGTTTTCTAATGACTTTATTCCCGGCGAATCCAGCTTAAATTCAGCGGTAAGTCGGGTGACCAAGGGGTTCAAACAAAATTGGAAAATTCTTCGCTCCAACACTCTGCCGTATCTAGTGGTACGGCATCCCAAATACAAACCATAGCTTCCAGCATCCCTCATCGTGTTTTACAGGTTGGCAGCGTAAGTTTGATAACAAAATAGTTTAAGTATTAGCTATAATTTTGCCAAAGTTTAGTACTTGTTTGCTTAATCTATGGTTAAATAATCACAATACTCGTGTAACATATTTCAGAATTATCTGTACTTATTAGTAGTTAACGCCACCTTTGTGGTAAAATTATTGGAACAACTCCAGTGGTGTTTGATCTGCTCATCCTAAACTTTTATAAAGCGTTTTTAAATATCTGCTAGTAGTATAGACTCCTCTCTTTTGTGCGCATCATATTCATATTTGTAGCAGTATGACTAGCGTCATAAATGTGTCTAATTATCAACTTGAAGTGTATGTTATATTTTCATTGTGTAACTAGGTACACGGTTGGCAGTTAGGTGATAAGATCTTTCTCTTTAATGTCAGAATTCGCTTGCTTTCCGTATCATCTACATAAAACTATAAATCCCGTTGTGCTGTAAAGTTAGTTGCAAAGACCGAACGAAAGTTCGGACTTTAATTGTGGGCCTCCTTTGACCGATCAGTTTTCATATGTTACATAAGTTTCTCTAGGCACCATTATAATACTTACAGTAAACATTGGCTCACTTATTTTCGAGATCGGGATGTTTTCTTGCTAAACAGTGGTTATTCTACAGTTTTTGAATTGAGATCTTAAAACTATATGGCTTTTCAGGTGGGAAGATAGTTATCTCTTATCAGTATGAATATCGTTACTTTCATCTCCTATTCTTGTCAATTTCCCCAGTGTATTCATATAGAGCGTAGCATGTTGGAATGATACACCCTAAAGTTGGATTTTAAGTTTTTCTCTGTCTTTGATCAATCAAATTGTAGTAGCCATTATCTGTCCCTTTAGATCAGTTCAGTTCTCTAGTTCGTGTTTTTTTTAAAATCCTAAACTTTACTACTATTCCATCTATTAATTTCTTTCTTACATACCTTCATGGCTGATGTTGTTTGATAAATAAAAGTATTCTGTCTTCGACTAACATGTAATTATCAGATTCCCAGTGTGGAATGGACTGTTGATCGTCATCAGTTAGTCGTTCTAACTGCATATCCCCACACCGAGTGTTACTTATTAGAATAACCGAGATATCACGTGAAGAAAAGAACGTCATCATATTTGTCTTTATTGTCCTTTATCCCAATGAATAAGAAAAAGCAGGGATTCTTGTGTGATAAACAAAACGTCTGAGGTAGTAATGGGTTGGTAGAAAGTTAGGGGTGGACAATCCAAAACGTGACGTTAGTCCATGAAACCTTTGGTTGTTGGGTTAATCCATGTAAGTAGGTTCAGACTTCCTATTTGGGTTGGGTGCGACTATCGTAACCAATGACTAGAGACTATATGTAACGTCTCATAACCGGTCACAATGGTACAGATCCATTCACGTTTTGCTGTTCCCTAAAATCATTTGCTCTCTGTTCCATGGGTAATGTCTTCGTTTCGATCAGATTTTCTGTGCCTTATTTTTAACGACATATAGTACCACTATTTCTGCTACTTTGGTATCAATCTTTCTGACTTTACCTCATTGTATTGATGTATTTTGGCGACCTGAACCGATTCATATGTCAAATCCTACTTTACTTGTGACTGACTAACTTGTGATGATCGTAGAAAAACCAATTTGGCTAACATTTTCCAACATATCCCATGCCTTCTACAGAACTAGGATTTTAACCAAACCGCTAACTTCTCTCCGTAATCTAAAGACAACATTTCACTCGCTTAGTCAAAAAGCCCAATTGACTTTTTTGACTTTAAACCGATGGCCAAAAAAATTTATTGCACTAATCAGGGCACTCTATCCAAACTTGTAGTGATGTAAGTGACTATGCAGATGTATCACCAATATAGCATCATTAAATTTCATCAAGGATATCCACTGTTACTATCCTTGGTCATATTTATCAAAACCTTACCCATAGAAGCAGTTATGTTTGCTTCAGACTTTTCAAAGACTGATTTCTAGTTGGGAAACCAACTAGCCGATCTTAAAAATACAAACAACACAGTCTTAATAAGCGAAAGCCTGAAAACAATTTAGAATCCTTTGAACCCTAGGGAAAAAAACAAAAGGATGTTGGATACGCCCTTTGGACTCGTTTAATGTGAGTTGATCTTCTAAAACTGATCTAGAGCAACGACTACTATTTGAGTTTGTGAATCACTTTAACTCCCAAACACTGGATAGAAGAAATTAAAAGTAAACAAGAGCACAAAATATACTATTATACAGTTATAGAGCATTCAATAGTAGATAACTGTATGAAAACATAAATGGATGGTAATCCTATATCAGAATATTGTTGGCGCTGCCGAATAGCCGATATTTTTGATCATTATTGATATTCTATGTAAGATCCCAAAATTCACTCAGCACTAAGGACTAGAAAACATGAAAGGTGCTATTCAGTAACCTAATGGTATAAATGGTTCAATTTTTTGGGAGATCAGTGACCTGGATGACTTAATTATAATTTATCAGTCAATCAGTCATGCACAGTGTTAAAATTTAGCACGTTTAGGCATCAGTTTAAATCGCCACGTCATATCTTCACGACAAAATGAAAATATCCAAATAAATCTCAGTAGTAATAATAGCCGTATCAATGCGTTATGTCTAAATGAATATTTACAAAATCGTTAGGTAAAAATCGAGAAAGTGGACAGTCCTAATAAGCATCAATTGCTATTATTAATTCTAATCACAGTTTACCGTAGGCTTTAACTACAGTAGTTTTCAAGTAAACACCCTGTACAAAGTTTGCACACTTGGGTACAAGTTTCTTTGGTAAATTGTCATAAGCTGTCGAGTGCTGCCGGGAGGTCAAAAATAACACCACAGTCGGACGTCGGTAGGCACGTCTATGTTCTAAAACATGACAAAAGGTGAATACTTGATCTACACACGTCCAAATTTAACACCGGCCTAATTTTCCCTGGTTTGCACTTCATGCTAATATCTGTGACTGCAGCACTGAGTAAGGGATATTTGAGTATTTCTAAGAACATCCGTTTCATCAACCTAGCAGATATTACTTACCGTTGAATCCTAACCAGAGTTTTCTGTCGATCTCGTGGTTATCTAGCACAAACAAAGTACTCCACGCTAGTTACCCTACTAATTACATCACATTCGGATCTGTAAAATTTGGTGAGACAATGAGACAACCTGATATTAGTTAATGTAAATTATTTGTTGATTTATCGCACAGCAATAAGATTGGATTTTCATGAAATTATATCACAGTTTGGTATTTTTTTTGTTATTGACAAAGGGCACTTTTAATTTTCAGAGACCTGTCTCATCTAGTTTTGACTTGTATATTCGCATTTAAACTAACTTTTCACCACTTCTGTATTATATGAGCTAAAGTATCGCGAGACTTCGGAATTTACCTCCATAAGTTGAGAGCGTACGTCATTTCATAACGGGTTTTCGTTAAATATTTTGATTTTATATGTAGAAACTTATAATTCTAAACCAGAAGCTAGCTTCACATGAATTATATGCTTCTTTTTTAGAATATCATATTAAGCAAATTTCAAAATCTTAACTGCTTTAAACTGGTGTAATAATGTATTTTTTTTTGGTAATGTTAATTTGTTCAATCTCCGTATATTATTTCTGACTGCCTGCTAAATTATCGTCTCTGAGTATAGTCAGAAAATACATTTCATTTCCCAATATCATCTGAATGATTGGTATGCTAGACAATAAAACTCCAGTGTTATTCTTTCTGTCGGATAGTTCAAAATTAAATTCTCTGTTTTAGACGGTGTTCCGGAACTACAATTTAGTCATATCAAGTTTTCAGAATACCGCATAAATGTCAATTAGTTGTCATAATTTCACATACCTTTTTGCTCAATAACCGAAGTATAATATTACTACATATGTTGCTTTGTACTTTACCTTCTTTTCTAGTCGGGTTCCGATGGAGTTCAAATTGTACGCACTATACCTTCTTTTGTTAGTTCTACCAATCAAATAATTTCATTTCCAACCGTTGCAACACAACAACCAGTCGCAGCCCAGTCAAGCAATCCTAGACAACAAATTCAGCAACAACCTACTTACATTCTAGTCCCAGCAGCTCAGCTAGCAGGTGGTGGAGAGAATCAGGTGTTTGCAAGCACACCTATACGTGCTGTTACAGCAGGTAGGCGAAAATTAATTTTAAATTGATTCGCATTCGCATATATTATGTTTGCGCGAGATGTCTGTTTTTTAATTTCGAGTATAATTATTCAGACATTACTTTCATTAGATACAACACTTACCTATTTTCACCAAATCTGTAACTATTCATTTGCTATCAAATACTTGAATTAAATACCCCTTACTATTAGTATTCCTTCTGAATGGAGCATCGTTTAGTTTCTATAACTACATTTGAAGGCTTTTTGTACCACTGACTAGTATGCAATTATTTCATTGTGTTCAACTGAGATATGTTTTGTTTTGCTTGTTGTCCTGGATTAATAGATTGTATCATCGTAATAGTTTTTTTTAAATTTTTTTGGTTGCATTAGCTAGTAGTTTACCAGTGGAATTTAAGATGCTCATTTCCTTCTATCTGAAAAATCAGTTCTATATACCTCAAATATTAGTGTTATAACTTGTGAACCTGTGTGCCCTGTTTATTGTATAACTCAACGATACCGCCAATCAAAGATCAGCGAATTATCGATCGAACCGGTGACGCATAAAACACGTGCGCGCAGCCTTAGAGTCCTTATTGGTCCTGCTTTCTGCCTACCCAAGCCATTTGAATCCAGAACACCACTCTCAGCCTCTGCAATATGAATCATTTATTTCAAGCATATTGGGTTTATATATCAACCAGACAGACCACAACGTACCATAAAATATGAAACAATTGTACAAGAATTAGCCAAATGTGGCTGTGAATGAGGGAGGTAGTAATTAATAAACAAGGCATAATTCAAAAATGGTAGATCGTATAATAATAGTTCATAGGTAAAAAAAAGCTCATAATGATAGGGACATGAATATGATCAGTTTAGTTATTTGACAATTATACGATAAAAATATACTCATAGTATTGGTCCATAAATGGATCTCAAAAATTACCATTCATTATTCTTATCAGGATATAACAGTTAGTTTCCTCAGTGAGAATCGAACTTAGAATTCTCACTACCAGAGGTTACTATAATGATTGGATTAAATTGTATTTGAGTTATGTCTTAATTGAAGTCTGTAAAGTTCCAAGTCTAGGTTTGCTCCGATAGATGTGGATGATTTCCTAATTTGACCAGATGGTTCATCATGAAGTATCGCCTATCGAAGTAACCTTCATGATGTCTCAGATATTTACATCTGTTATTGGTAATACACACAGAAATTTTACCAATATAATTTCATGCAGTTCGTTCCTTTTATGAATTTGAATAAAGTCAAAACAATAATAGAGGTATAATAACATATATTCATTTTATTTTTTAGTTCCTCAGTTGCTTACAACTGTATTAGTATTAAAATACAACATTGAGATATATGAAGTTGTAAACATTAGTGACAGAGAGAATTGAAATAATAACAATTATTAGTAATAACTATATATATATATATATATATATATATATATATATATATATATATATATATATATATATATATAATCACAGGTGAGGTCATTTTAAGACGAAATTCAGGGACATAAAAGTGAGGTAGTAATTACACTTAGTCCGAAAACTGGTAAAATGAATTGTATAATAATTGGAGAATTTATGGAAAAAATAAGGCGATGAAGAGCTGATGATGTGGGATTCGAAATCGATAAGTTGAGTTACGTTATAAGTTGCTTCACTGTGAATCACCCAATCAGTCATAAACTGTAAATAACAGGGATTAAATTAATAACTATACATTTTCTATTTCTAGGACACACAATGCTTCGTACTTCTGGAATAGGTATTAATAATAATCAAACTGTTAACACAAGCAGTGTTAATTTAGGTTCAACTGATCGAAGTATTATTCTGGTACAACAACCAGTTGCTGGAACTAGTATTCACGTTGGTTCTACAGGTACAATCGTTCCTGGTTCAAGTAGTGGTAGTGGTACCACTTTAGTTCCTTTACGACAATTAGGCGTATCTACTTGTGGCGGCAATGGATTGGTGTCTAGTGCAGGTTCTACTCGTCTTATTGGATCAAATGTTGGTATTGAGTTATTTTCGAGTACAGTTGGATCACGATCGTCCCAAGGTCAAGGAGGTTCAATGGGATTGGTAACAATTTCAGCGAATGCAGGTGTATCTGGGTCTTCATCCTCCGGAACTCCTCAGGTATCGTTGTTTTTGTTAACTAAAAAAGCTAGTGATAGGTTATTATTCTTCTGAATTTGTGATTTTATCCTTCATACATTTTATTTCACAAGCCTGTTTACTGTAATTAATATTGTTTCCATACCATTAGTTTTTGGCTTGTTAGATTTAAATATTGATGCTTAGTACAAAAGCAGTTTACATTTTTGTCTCCTAACTGATTAATGTTAATCCCATTTACAGAGAAAAGGATTTCTATTACATTTTTCATAAAAAGTCAGACGCGCATTCGATCTAGGTGATGTCAATATCTTGGTTGTGTTCTCATTTAAACCATATTCTTCATTCTGTTTCTTCACAATATCGTCACTTAACTTTATGTAGCGTACGTGTTGAAGCTGTGTTGTATCAAGCCTTTTGTGTGTTATGGAATAAATAATGTCTATGGAAATGATATCGCCTCAAATTCTAATCTGTATTGAACAATTCAGTCGTTTTAAATCCATTACTGATTATCGCTAATTCAAATATGAGTTTTGTATAAGTTGCACATTGGTCTCCGTAATATTCAGTTTTATTCTGCACAGTGTCGTCAGTTTTTGTTTTCACAAAATGCCCGTTTTGTTATACCTGAACATCCTCTCCTTTCAACATTCTCTTCTGGTTAATGTTTTCAGCGCGAGTCAACTTGGCAGCAATATGTCAAACAGTTCACGAAACTGGGTCCCTGTCCAATCTGTGGGGATAAAATTTCTGGTTATCATTATGGAATATTTTGTTGTGAATCCTGCAAAGGCTTCTTCAAACGGACTGTTCAAAATGCTAAAAGATATGCCTGTCATCGCCCTAATGCTTCTTCTCGATGTGAAATAAATGTAGCTTCACGCAAGAAATGTCCAGCTTGTCGCTTTCTAAAATGTGTAGATAAAGGAATGCGTATTGAAGGTAGGTAACCTTGGTCTGTGAACTATGTAGGTCGAAAGTAGATTAAGATTGCCTAATTACCATACAATATATCTTTGCCAGAGCATTTTACTACTAATCGTTTTTGGTTTTTACCATAATATCTATTTACGGCACGTATATTAACTGATCTAATTTCATAGACCCTTTATAAAACTATACTTATTTCATCTAACGTTTCAGCGATGGATCTTTCTGATGACTTATCTATCGACATAGTCGTATTTGTTGAGGATGCTGGCAAATTGTAGTATCCATTGAATGCATTGCATGCGTCATCTCCTAAATGTAAAGTGTTGCTCGACGTCTATTCAGCCTCAACATGTAAATTAATAGTAAGAGATGAATTATTTGAACGCATTAGTCTGGTAAGATTGTGAATCTTGATCAGCTGAGTTGGTTAAAAAAATGTATTACTTACTCCCAAAAACTTACCATGACGCTCGGTGTTGGGTGGTGTAGTTGGCGTAAGTCGATAGAAAGCTAGGGGCAGTCAAAGCAAAATGTTGGTTCAATCCATCAAGTCATTGACTGTTGATCTGAGTCGTTTTAGTGAATGCATCTACCTAGTTAGGGTCTGCGAGATAGTCTCGATCAGTGGTTGGAGCCGTTGTGTGAAATGGCTCAGAACCTGTCGTAGTGACTCAAATTCAATCATTATATTCAGTTCTGATATTCTTTCGTGTAAACTTTTTCATTCTCAACCTATAATGTGATTGTTTGACCTTCCTCATCAACATTGGTATCATGACTATTCCGACTGCCCCACAATTAATCTAGCTCATGTCATTTTGTCCAACTGTTGTATACATCTTGGTAAAACGCATACTTTTTCCCGGTCCCATGATGATTAGAGCTGACTACATGATATATTACCAGTCAATATGTTCTGTAAGGTTAATCTTTTCTCTCGGGAGTCTTTGGTTCGATACTCGCAATGTAATGCAGATATGGCTATTGTACAGTGTGGCCCCCCTTTTTAAGCAAACATATCTTTCCTATTATTAAATATGTCGATGGTTGGAAACGTTGAACGAGCTTTAATTACCCATACCAAACTTCATGTAGTTACTGAATGGTTATGACAAATATAATTCTATAAATCATGTTAGTGATCACTGTGAAATTTCCATCCTTTCTTATAGATTGGAGAATTCAGTTTAGTTGATAATCATAGACTACCACTCTCTAACACTTCAACAGTTAACTTATTGGAGTTGACTACTCTATAGACCTGGATTTAATAGTTTAGTTTTCAACATCGTAATGATATAAATAGATATCAACTGCAGGGTAGTTGGAAGTCAGTGTAATTGCTCTTCAAAACCCGTTCTACTTTCAAGTCCATAGCTAGTTCTTCCCTGAATGTACTATTGACATAAGAATTTTTTAGATAAACTCAGGTCTTCCTGTAAGGCAAATACATTCGTGCTCACAAGAAAATATTATCAAAGTCCCAAATATATTCTGATATGAGCGACAATTCTTTATTGAGTCGATACGACGATATTTGTATGACTTACGTCCACTTTTTAATTAATGTTGAACGTCACTAAATCAGTGTTTGTCTCTTTCAAAATCTGGTACTCCCTATAAATAAATGGTTGATAATTAGTAAGGTGAACTGAAGTGATGTTAACAGTGTGCGTGTAATTAGTACTGGATTAGTGTTCATAGTCTCATCATCTTAGAGGCGTGACAGGGCAGTTCAATATATAGCTGTTTGAATTCTCTCAAACTATTCCTAATACCAAATGTTTTAAGTTCTTTATCCAAGATGTTCAGGAGTTTCTAATCTAATTTTCGTACATATAAAATAGTAAAGATATTAACATTCAGTATGCTAGATAACGTTTTGCTCTGTAAATCATGAATTCCTCGCATAGCTATTCGTTCGGATCGTACACGTGGTGGACGTAGCATGTATCCTGGTTCACGTTATCTGCGTCAGATTGCAGCACGGGTTAGTGGGACTCACTCTGCTCCTGGTCTGGGCCTCTCTAATTCAGCTATGGAATTTTCAACTTCAGATCTTGATGGGAGTATGCTACGTGGATTGACAGACCAAAGTATTATGTCAGATGATGCGGATCAACTTTCTTGCTCTGTTGTCGGACTTGCTGCGCATACTTTAGGCCCTGATGGTTTGCCAGCTTCAGAAGACGCGGGTGGTGGTGTTTATCTGGATCCTGGTGTTCTCGGTACTCATGATAATGATGATGAAGAAATAGATTCCAGTAGCCTGCGTGTTGAACCAAACATTTTAGAATGTGGAAGCGGAATCGTTGGTGGTACTAATTTCTCAACAAATGTTTCGCCGTATTTAGGTAGACAGGTAATTATCGGTGGTTCAAACGAGTCGATTCCACGTACCAGAGAACAACTCCCGAAGGTACGTTTCTGTCCTGCATTTATATGCTATTTGTTCTATTACTTGAAGACAATCACATTATTGTGTTGTATCTGAGTTGGGCTAATCGTCATTTGTTGTTGCATTGTGTCACTAGTTCTATCACAATTTCATACCATTAGTTTTCTCACAGATATCTTTTATGTGAATTCCTGCGTTGATGCTGTTAGCCACATAGTTAAGTGGTTTAGTGTAGTTGACTCTCAGGCCTTGAAACTGGGCTCCCTCGAGATTTTAGGTATTGCTTGCTGACGAATATTAGCTAGCACGAAACTTAGGTCCAGGGTTCTCTGTCGGCTTTTTCCATCCACCTAACAAAGCCACCATTAGTATCATTTTTTTTCAGCCAAAAATCCTCCCTTCAAAGTGTTAAATAGATCATATCGTACAATAATGAAGATGCTAATAAAAATAATGTGTTAGGGGAATAACATATAGTTATTAAGATGTTTGTTTCTGCTACCACGGGTTGCTTCAGAAGACCATAATTTGTATTATAAGTGACTCATTTTATATTTCCTATGTACCCTAGATTATTCGGGATATCCTCCTTGTAGAGGAGACCATAGAAGCGGAACCCGAAGATGCACTAGAAATCGATGCTGCGGTTGCATCAGAAACTGCAGCACCTGAGGGGGTTTCAGATGACGAGGCAGCTGTGTACCGCGCATTGTTGAATTTGGCAGACCAACGTTTATATCGAACAGTACGTTGGTCTCGAGCACTTCCAGACTTCTCTATACTCGACACGGATGATCAAATACTTTTAATACAAAATTGTTGGGCAGACTTACTGTGTCTTGATTGTTGCTGGCGCTCTTTGCCCACTCCTTCGGTAAGTATTTAAATTTCTCTGTGTGCATATGTCGTCAATCATTGATTGTATGTCTTGTGCTACCACTGTAAATCCCATTCGATTGACTGGTTATTTGGCTTTTGTAGCATTACACTTCAGTAATGCAGTCATAATAAATATGGAAGGTAACATAAACAGAGTTATTATCTGATGAATGCTTAGGTTTCAATTCATTTTATAGTATACTAAAAATGATAACTATTTTCGTGAAGTGGTTTTATTAGATGTTTGTTTGGTGTAATACATCTTGAATTAAAACAGGATTCAGTATGTTACATTTGATCTATCAGAAGATATTCACCAAACACAACTTACTTGACTAGAGAGGGCTCAAACATGTTGGTACAATTCTTAAATAATCGCTTCTCGCCTCTCTGAGCTAAGATCATGTGTAGTATCTGTTCTTTGCAGTGTAATTTCTGCAACGGTCTCTAAACTGAGACCAATGAAATTACCTGTATTTTTCACCTCCGGACGGGTGCTGTGAGCTTGCTCAACCCCGTCCATGGGTCGGCCTCGTATTGCATAAATGTTGTTGATTTATTATTTATTTTTTAAGATCTAAAATATCGAACAAATTTGTGTATTTGTAGGGTGGAATTACTCATACTTTCACAAAACTTATTATTTTGCATCAATGTGCTCATTTTTTTCATTGTCTTTTGGTTTGTTTAAAATATTTTCTTTCTCTTGTTGATTTTCCTTTAAACAATTGAACTGTTTTAAAGCGACTTAATTTCCCGGATCGATAAATTTTTTGGACAAATTAGCAAAATTATTCTAATCCCAACGGTTAGCAATCGGTTTTGAGTAGTCGATTCTATAATATGATTTCACAAGAAAAAAACCCCACTTCATTAGTTTAAATGACCAGCCATTTAACACACATTTTCGTCGTTCCTTTCAAAATATTAATTACTTTAACAATTTGAACATATTTTATTTATTTAATCTGGTAGACCGTACGAGTATTGTGTCAACTGTGATTTTACCGTTATGAATGTAGCCTATTATTATTCTATATTTAAATGTATTGTTTCTAGGAAATTCGTCTCACCTCAAGCAAATGTATCAATCTTGAAGCTGCACGTGAAATGGGTGCTGAAGAAATAGTTGAGAGAATTTTACAACTCACTCAATCTTTAACAAGATTACAACTGGATATTGTGGAATATGCATGTTTAAAGGTCATTGTCCTAATGCAACCAGGTGGGTTCTTTTTTATTTTACTTTCAAAATAATGGAATGTAAATCAATCTTGTTTTTTTTCTTTTTGGAACCCAATGACATAATAGGCTCTTTGAATGAAATCTTTTAGCAATTCACATTTGTATTCACTTCGAAAGGTTTTTAATTTGATCGAATTCCTATCGATCATTCTTCATTTCATGTAGAGCTTCGACTTTATCAAAAGAAACGCTTAGTTTTTCTATTCAGTTGCTTTAGTTATATCAACAGTGTTAGATTAGAAGGCTATCCAAGGTTAATCTTATGTGTTGAAATTGTGGAAGATATTATCTAGTATATATGATGTAATGTTATATGCAACGGCTGACATTTCAACTACTGTTTTTAATATTACATTTTCTGAACTGAGTAGAAGAGGTTGATCAGTCATTTATTTTAGGAAGAACGGTACAAAATATTAAACAATAATGTAATGACACAAAGATTAGGAAAAAACCTGTGAAGGCAATCATTCACAAATAAGGTTATTAAAACGCAATAATCTAATACTTGTACGATGAATTCAGAAAGACTTAATTCAGCATGAAGTCTACAATTTTCGGTATTTTCTAGAACTACTGTGGAGGCTTTCTAATATAACTATTCAGCTCAAAGAACGCGACATTATATATATATATATATATATATATATATATATATATATATATATATATATATATATATATATATATATATATATATATATATATATACTAATCAACCGTTCAAGGCGGTCTGCAATGCTACTGGAAGGTACGACGGCGATTTTCGCTTTTCATATGCTCATATTTCAGAACCATGAATCTTGTAGGCCACAAAAACGAAACTGCATTAGTAATGGTCTTGAAAAAAGTCGAGGCATGACCAAAAAACCTAAGGGATAACTGTTTGGGGTCGGTCACATACGGCATTGTTGCGGTTTTTGATAATATTAACTCCGTAGTTCAAAAGCCCTACTTCCAGATATAGAACTCTGTGGAGTTATATGAGATGTGACTTTTTTGTAGTCCATGTTTTCTATGCCTTTTCTTTGTGACAAGGTGGCACCGCTGGAAGTGCTGGTTATCTGAGGAATAAACTATCATTACTTTCAAGTACGATCAACAGTATGACTTCGTTCTGAGGCCTTAAGTTGCTATTTATAATCTTCCTGAATGGTAGGACTTTAAGGAATAAACGTAACAACTAAAATTACTCGATTGTTCGTCATGATAGGCAAGCACGATTATCACGTCAAGGTAGTATCCATGTTGAGGATTTGACTAGACAATTTTATCTCGCTGTGCTAATATGGTGTACTAATGTAAACCAAAGGATGTGAATCCCAGGTTCCATATGATGGCTTGATAAACTATACTGATGTCAGTCTCTTCAGATAAAATTTATTGACGACTCTTTCGTGACGCTTCTCGTGCTTAAAGGAAAAATGTCGAACGAACATTTCTGAAAAAAGTATGAACTCTATTTAATAAGAAACTAACTGATTACGACGTACACTGAATACTTAGCCTAATACAACAATGGGTAAGCGAATAACTTTTAGATTAACATTACAGCCAGTTTATAACCACTAAATTCCTGTGAAAACACTTCTAGACTGATTATTATGCAAAATTACCTAACGGTTATGTTAGAAACACACAAATAGCGATTAGTGATTTTAGACAAGTGTAGTTTAATAATTTAAACTTTAATGATAGAATTGTACATGATTTCTAAGTTAAACGTTTCTGATATGCCGACTGGTTTATAACTAAACATATATTTTGACTATTTTGAAAAATCAGATTTGAACAATTTAAAAGCAAGTTCTCAAGTTCGATCCTATCAAGAATCTGTTCGACGATTACTAATGGATTATGTCACCAAGTCGTCACCTGATATAAATGATAAGTTTAACAAATTGATCAATCGGATTCCTGAACTACGCAAAACAAGTCAGGCTGCTCGCCTGATGCTTGTTGATTTGGATCTATCTTCTTATTTATCAACTAATTCTCTTCTAATGGAACTTTTACGCAGTGATATTCAACGATATACACCAAATAATGGATCACACAATTCGATAGAATCTACAACAACAGTATCAATGCAAGGTTCTACCAATTCCGGTATAAAAACTGTCTCAGTCACTTTAGGGGCTGACACTGCAGAAAATCAAGAGGAGAATACTACAGTTACAATGGTCCCATCATCAGGTGTTACTGATTTATTATCATTACCTAATCATACTACAATTACAACAGTAACAGATAGTAGACTAGATGAAGCGATCACCAGTAATAGTAATACTTCACTGACTACTTCTGAAGTTGATGTTATTTCTAAATAGTTCAACTTTTAAAAAGAATATTTGTTATTACTATTATTATTATTATTATTGTAATGATTATTAGCTGCCCATGAATATTTGATTTATACATTGTACTCGTTTTCTCACTGTTTCACGCGCCACATTTGTATAAATGGCACTTACAATGTTATTTCTAATGTCTTCGTTAGTATACATGCCAGCACAGATTTTACTGTAAATACTTCCCATTTTGGTAAATAACTAATTTTCCAAATATTACTCTGTTTGTCTTGTTGAATAGTTGTGATTTTCACAACCATCTCTGTCAAAATTGTTTAGGCGCTCTTTACGCAGGCATATGTACGTGTTCTTAATACACAGATTTTCCTTCATTATTTCCCTCGAATCCCGGTTATCTGTTGTATTCTGTGTACCGTTACACCTAACATGTGTACATATATAGATATATTACTGATATTTATGTCAGTAGCTTAACTCTTTGTTCTTTCGCATATATAATTTTCTTTTCAATATATACATATTACCATTAATAACAATCAGCACATATAAGTATGTCGCACTTGTCGCTAAATGTAACTATATTCACACTATTAAATATTGTGGTCAATTAACTATACGTCTAGGAACAACTTTATCAAGGAAGAAATGTTATTTGTTCTATTTTTCAGTTTTGATAGCAGATTAGTTTTTCTGCGTTTTCATCTTCCGTTTTTTATGCATATATATATATATATATATATATATATATATATATATATATATATATATATATCTGTTGATATTTTATCTAGAAAGATTATTTATCTATACTAATACGATTTGTTAATTGGTAAATGCACTTCTCATTATTATAACTTGTCGTTCTGTTTGCTATATTCTCTCCCCTGCTGTTGTAGAGGCTCAAATAACGGATATCTTTATATGGTTATCATCTAATGTAGTTGTTGAATGGTATTCACAAAATCACTTAGTCTGTGACATTAACATGCGAGTGTTGAAAGTAATAATGAGTGTATGCATCCTGTCCTGCTGTTTTACCTCATTGGTGTAAAACGTAGTTTTTAAGAATACATATTTTTAGGTTACTAGAATTTGATCAGTGATGTCTCAAAACCGTTACTCGTATATGTTGGGACCATCAAATGTGTAATCCTGAAATAAAACAAATGTTATTAGGTAAACATGGTCAATCAGACGACAAGCTAGCGGATTTCCACCAATTTAGACATTTTGGATGCCCAATAATCGCTTGACTGGATGCGCGACATTTGATATTGTAGAAGTAGGATGGACATAAGCTAGGACCGTATAGACCATGATGCGCTATTAGTTCATGGAATGATTGACTGGTGGATTGAGCTACGTTATTACGTTTAAATTACTTGGTCGGGATGGACGCAATTGCTGAAACCAATGATTGGATACAATGTGTGACGTCTCAAAATCGGCTGCGATGACATGCATTTACATTTTGTCTTCCCTCAGATATTGAGTTCTGAAGCTATCTTATACTTCATTTCTGTTCCACGAATTCGTTCTTGAATCATTTTATATGTCAAATCTTTTCTAGTACTAGCATTGGTACGGAATTTACTGCTACTAAGATTTGTCCGAATAATTTCATCTTATTGCGAAGATATGACGTAGTGATTTAAAAATTGTGCATGACTCACTGGCTGACTTGTTTTATTGTTGAGCTATTTACAGAATTGAGTGCTGAAGAGTTCCGACTTTCTACCCTTATCTGGACTAATTTTTATGAACTTGCTAATAAGCGACTTAATATAAAATCTTCACTTCCTTGTATCTGCTGATTATCTCTTAATATGAATAGAGACACCAACTGGAGATATTTTCATGTCAATATTTCCGCTTTGTTAACCAGACAAAACTGTAAACAACCTTCGAGTCTCACAGCTAGCTCAATACTATTTCTAAGTAGGAATCCAGTTACGTTCTACAAAATCATTGAATTTTGCTTGAGATAGCTTTCTACATTAGAAAAAGTATATTTCTTAGGGCAATCGGTGACCATATTTTGTGTTCAGCCACCTGTCAAATTGTACCCTCCATATATTTCATGAATAAACCCTGCGTGAAAGATTTCAGTAGCATGCAACGTTCATGGGACATTTCCTAACTTAGTAATATGGTTAGTCATAATCCAACCTCATTTAATTCATAATATGCGGTGATCATTATTTAATTCTACTGTATTCTGACTCTACTTATCGAAGAATGACTCTATTCATTGTGAGGTTAATGTACATAATGGAGTTTCAAAGCTGGGGTAAGAATTATAGTCTTGTTATTTTCCATTTCTGTTGATGTCATTCCTAGATTGAAGCTATTTTCAAATTCGCTCTAGGTGTTACATTATTAGTACTAAAATAATTCCATTTCATTTTGTAAATAAAATGAGTGATAATATCACTCTGCTAAATTCCAAAATCAGTATGAAATTAAGCAGTAACTTGAACTCTTCCTCGAATTCCTTATATGATAGTTCTTGGTTTATATAAATTCAATCAGGTCAGTCATAAGTAGTGTAGAACCGGGAAAATTTGTGGATCTGTTCAAGTTGGTCTACTCACCAAGATAAAATTATTAAGACAGATAGCAGAGTAATAGAATCGTTAGTATTATTAAAGATCATAAAGTTCCATTTATTGTAGAGAATATATTTGGAGCAGAAAGAAAGTATCCATGATAAGAAGAACGTATAAAACATTTCTGGGACTCTATCTAAAATAAAGAGTGAATGTATCTATCTTACTGAGACTACTTCTGAGCCATACCACTCAAATTCTCCAACCAAAGGTTACGATAATCAGCCCTATGTAAGCCTCGGATAAATATTGAGGCCAGTTTCCCCGGTTCCATACTTGTCAAAATGATTCCTCTGTGGTTATTACAAGAGGATTTCTATCCTTTCTCATAAACTGGGACCATCAGCTAACCAAACAAATCAGATTGGTTTACATGCAGTTTGCAAACTTTAGCTAATACCTCAGTCTAATTACTAAAACCTGACCATCATTATTGAAGGTCCTCAAAATTCATTCTTCAAGTCCTGTTCTTACTCTAGATTGGCTCTGAAATTTCCAACTTCGTTAAGAGTCAGTGTGAAGGGCTTATTTCCATCTCCCATTCTGGTAGTCCTGGAATAGTAAGTAACCGAAGATCTACAAAACAGTTGAACTATTCTCCAATCAATCCAATCGTCTAACATGAGTTTTCTTGCATCTATTAAATCAGTAGGCGCCACCGAAACTGACAAATATTTCCTAGCATTTGGATAACTTGTAGATATCATTGTTTTTTTCACAGTCATTTGGATATCATGTCCTTCTACTTTGGTGTGAACATCACTTTTACGATTGATTGACTGTTTCTTTAGTTTTTCCAAAAATATACTCTTGAATTATTCGTCACTAGGCTGGACTTTAAGAGTTCTTCCTAATGTGGTTGTCGGAATGACCGTGTAACTCCTACTGAGTCTCTCCAACGCATGCCTTTGACGATACAAATTTAAAAACCATTTAACTAACAGAAATCCTTAAGATATTATTGGGAGCATAACTGATCAGTATACTCTTTAATAATAAGAGGAGGAAAGTTTAATGGCATCATAATGCCTTAAATCAGTGTCCATCGATGAATAATAAACTAAGCATAAATTTTCAATGACTGAAAGAAAATTTCAGTGCAAAATGTATGCAGGATTAGTATTAAATTTCTTGTCATTCACTTCATTGGTCTCGTAAGCTTGTTCTTTCATGAAATTCTTAGTTCACTTTTATCGCATATATATATTATACAGACGAAAATATCCTAATATTTAGCGAGTTACTATTTAAACAAACTTAATCATTGACGAATGAACATAGTTAAGCATATATCTTGAAAATTCGACAGTATTTTGAATGGACCACATCAGACTCATTTTTACCAAGCATCTACGTTTATACTACTTAATAGTAGCTTGTCTTCAAAGCATAAAATTTCTGGAGTTTGTGTAATTAATCTAAACAGATATGATGTGTATAATAAAGTTAATTCGAGAATGTTTACTCTCAAAATTAAGCATTTGAGATCTCATAGTTCTGACTAAAAGAATTTTGTAGGTCAAATAAAATCAGGGCATTATCACTGAGATGAAGAAATGAAATACATCGATAATAAATTAAATTGTGAACATGAATTTTTTTGAATTCTTTTGTTGCTTAGTTCTACCACACAAGTCTTGAAAACGTTTAATAAGTGAGAATTTTTAGAAAGTAATATAACAATTTCCTTAACCTAATCGATTTCGTTACAAATTAAGAATTCGAACAAATTTGTTTTTGATACCAATCAACTAACATTATGATCATTATACCTTATTACAAAGACGTTAGAGATTCCAGTGATAAACTATAGTTTATCTTTTGCATATATTTAAAACAAGAGCTAGGTAGGAAACTTTAATCAAAGATAAGGAACTATCCGCTTATTCTAATAGTTAATATTCTGATTACTTTTAGTAAATATTTCTCACTAATGTTTATCGAATTTTTCTTGTTAAAAAATAAATTTTATTCACAATAATCTCTGTATCATAATTTTCTTTTTCCTCGTTTCCAAGTAAACGTTTTGTACTTAAACATGTTTATATAATATGATATTGATATCACTGTGAATGAAAACTCTTTCCCATAACACCATGGGACTTTTAGAACGTTATATTCATGTTACTTTGAAGCCTTCTTTGACTATCGATAAGGTAATATAGATTTCTTTAAGCTTTTAAAGAAAGATTCCAAAGCCTATGGCTTTTTAATTTACTAATGTATATATATATTAGCTACGTTAATCAACTTACTGCTTTGATTACTGCGATAGTACAAGATCTTTATTGGCTATCTCCCACTGTTTACGCGTACATATAAAGAGACATATTCAGATTGAAATCAAATCTATATGGGTAAATTGTCTAATCTTGAGATTATAACATCAAAGTGTTTTTCAGTGTTTTTACACACATGTATGGAAAGTAATGAATTAGGAAAAGAGATTAAAGCATTATATCATCCTAATAATTAAATGGCTAATTGAACACAGTATCTAGGTTTATAACACGATGGCAATTGAAGCAGATGATATGGGGTTCGAGTACTGGAGTGAACATCAACTCTGGGATGCAGATTCATCCGGCTGATGAGTCCCAAACGGAATAAAACGTGCGTCCTGTATTTCACTGCTAATTACATCACGTGTGTAAACTTCAGCATACACCTGGTATCTTTTAATATTGAATTGTGATCAATATGTCATAGATTTAAATTAATCCAGATACATGAATGTTGTCGGTCATTGTTCGGCAATCCAGTTAGTTCTATACTAAAAGTTTATTTTCAATTTAAAATAACTCAAAATGCGAATAGCAGTTTTATAGTACTTATATAATTAGGTTAGGTATCTGTTAAAAAGGTCTTAAATAAATTGGCTTTTTTCCTTTTGTTAATAAATTATAGTTCCGGCAAACAAGTATATCCTCGATTACTTTTAATTCATCTTGCTAAATTAGCTTTTGCTATCCTCTAATTAGCTATTTTCCCATCTCGTTTTATTGTTTTGACAAGGTTATTATAGTTACTATATAAACGAAACAGTTATATCACATTTTCGACGTCATGGAATAAAAATCTTTGTTACCAAGATCTACCTTCTCTATTGTGACGTTCGGGTGAATAATAAAGTTATTGTATTATTGTTACATTTTATAAAAGTGAAGAAAAAAATGAAACTTTGTTTCCATTTCAATGGTATAGGATTATGGCTTAACAGCACAATTTAAAAATTTCATTATA